TTTTACAACTTTCCTCCCTCCTCTCTTCTCTCTCCGGCCACCGTCCGCCGGCCACCATCCTCCGGTGATACTACAATGGTATCACAATGCATCATATATGTGCTTGGGTATCACATTGATGTCGTTTGTGTGGTCGATCGAAGATGTAACACAGTGGTATCACTATGCATCTCATATATGATTAGATATCACAATGTATTTTTTGTTTAACAGAGTCAATATTTTTAGGTATCACAGTGATATCATAGTGGTATCACCGGAGAACGGTGGCTGGAGACCGGAGAACGGTGGCCGGAGAGAGAAGAGAGGAGAGATAAGAGTTTTAAAATACCAAAAATATCCTTGCATTAAGATTTTAATTTAAAATTACCAAATTTATAAATTTCCTAATTTATCTATTGATTTGTGGTTAATATTGGTTTTCACAGTTACCACAAACAACTCAGTTCTCCCTTGAATAGGCCCCTATATATATATATAATCATAAAATAACTTTTGGGGGCAACTTTCTAGTTTTGTCTTGTCCAGTCCTAATTATGCCGAACACCAGACATACACTTGTTATGTCTAGTCATTCCTTATTGTCCTGTCCAATCTTGTCCAATCATGTCTGCATACCAAACGTTACCTTAGGGCACATATATACAAAGAAGTTATATAGAGATAAAGAAGAGATTGAAAATATGATGGTGTAGTTATCTAATGTACATACTAATAGGGACTTAAGAATCATATTAATCCAAAAAATAAAAGGATATCGGATTCATCCGGTTGGGTTTGGTTTAAATGACCGTAACATAATTCCAACTCAAAACCTATGGTTTGAAGATTTTACAACTCGTTTAGACATCGGGTTAGGTTATTTAGTATTGGGTTGGGTTGGCTGAGTTGGTTGGGTTGATCGAGTTTTTGAACACCCCTATTGGGTATAGAGGGGCTTAAATTGTCAAAAGTGAAATCTAGAAACCCGCATTTGAGCAAAAGGGTAATTATAGGGATGAAAAATGCAAAAAAAGATCTATTTGAACTTAATCATATAAGAGTCATCAACCTCATCCTTGACCATCAAAATATTTGTTAGAACAAAATGTTGTATTCAAATCTCAGTGCTAAAACTGTGTTAACTGCTTTGTAATAGTTAGTTGTTATTTCATTTTATAGATTGGTAGTTAACTTTCCTTTTATAGTGCTACTATAAATAGCAGTTGGTTAGTTTTGGTTTGTTGTAATTGTGCGTATCATTTGATAGATTATTACACACAGTGAGATTGAGAGACAGAT